TCCACATTTTTGTGATTTCGACGAATTTCGAGACATTTAAATTTTAAAAATGATGATATAAAAAATTATACTCATATATTATAKGTCCATTACATTAGCACCGCCATATTCGAAAATCCAAAAGAAATTTATACTAACGATTGTTATTTCATTTGTAATCCTAATATAAACATTTGTACACTCCCCAAAATCACCCAAAAAACCGAAAATCCGCGGTTGTGCAGTTGTGCTAATGTAACGTTACACCAGCACCCCACTTTTTGTACAATTAACTTTTGGACTCCAAAGTGGTACCAACAATTTTTATTTTAGTTATTTTTACAAATGTTTATATTAGGATTACAAATGTGTACAAATGAAATAACAATCGTTGGTATAATTTTTTTTTGTATTTTCGAATATGGTGGTGCTAATGTAACGGACCTCTCATATATTGTACTACACTTATTATAGGTGTTCGCTGTTTACTTGATACTATAATACAGTGACTTARCTTTGAGGGGCCATTAGTGGGTTCCCTCTTTGGTATTTTTTTGGTTAGATTTTAATCACGATTGAGCTCCAGCGACGCTTTATTTGTTATATAATCTATGTTTAAATTTAACGGGATTCTATAAATGTAACTATTAGGTTGTTAATTACTTAGTAATTATTTACCAACTGAAAATTCTTATTGGGTGCAACTGTTTAAACATATATGTTATATTAATATAATAATATTACCCATCATAAGTCAGTTTGTTAAAAATATTAATCCGACCACGCCAAATTCTGGTCATTTTGTGCCTGTAAATGTATTTTAAACTAAGTAGTAATAATTTTATTATTATRATCGTCGTAATGTATATTTTTTTAAATTGTTATTGTTTTTGCTACACAGGGAAAAAACTGGAGTACGCAGTGGCGATTTGTTAATGTCGTTCAACTCTATATTCCAAGACGTGAGAAACGCAGTGGACTGGATGCACATACATGTAATATATATGCGAATATTAAAATAATACTATAATAGTATAGCACTTAACCCAAAGCATTAGTCGATTATTTCATCGCGTTTGTTTTAAAAAATATATGCATATCATTGTACATGTATTATATACAAATGTTGGTTAGGTTAAGCGATGTCCTTGGTACGTACTTCCAATACGTAAAATGATAATAAACCTAACCTTTCCCATTGYGCTATTAATAACTTTATTAGATATAAATAGGAGGTTTATGATATACTATTGCGTTTTATATTCAACGTAGGTACTATAGGATATATATTATGATTTTAGAATATTATATGGTATACCCATTAAAATTGTATTTTGGTTATTGCATTGTATATGGTTATAACAGGGCGATTTGAAAGAAAGAACTATCCAAAACTTATCAGATTACGTCAACAAGGACGCGAGACTCCCGATGTTCTTGGCTAGGATTCGGCAAAGTGGCGCCAAGGTGTTTTTGTTAACCAACAGTGATTACTGGTTTACCAACATGATCATGACGTATTTGTTCGATTACCCGCACGGTGCTTCGGTAAGTCGTTCGGTTCGTAGTAACCAATAGTCACAGTCGTTCGTCGACGATGTAAGAAAAATATTAAAATAATAGTATAACTACAATATTTTTCGCCGGTTGTAGCCTAGTGAGCCACACAGAGACTGGCAGTCATATTTCGACATAGTAGTGGTAGATGCCAGGAAACCGTTGTTTTTCAGTGAAGGCACAATCCTGCGACAAGTGGACACCAAAACTGGAGCTCTGAAAATGGGCACACACATTGGGCCTCTGCTAAAAGGCCAAGTTTATTCGGGAGGTAAATTCTATTGACAMGCATTATTTATAATAATTGATGTATGATATATAAATATTTATATTGTATTGTGTCTCGTTCAACGGAAAGGCTCCTGCGACATTTTCACCAAGCTCATCGGTGCCAAGGGAAAAGACGTACTGTACGTGGGAGATCATATATTTGGGGACATTCTCAAATCAAAGAAGATACGTGGTTGGAGAACATTTTTAGTCGTCCCCGAGTTGGTCCAAGAGCTGCACGTGTGGACAGACAAATGTCAGCTGTTTGCAGAACTACAAAATTTCGATATAGCTCTTGGAAACATGTACAAGTGAGTATACTTGATACGGATCATACGTCATGCTTATAGCAGTACGCGATTTAATAATACCAATAAATACGTATAATGTCACACTTTACATTGTGTTGGGACATGGTTTCATTCATCATTAACATTTATTTTAATGAGCTTATAACTTATATTAAAAACATTTAAAAAAAATTAGGTTGGTTGATTGTTAGTGATTTAAAAGCGCATCACTAAAACTAATTGGGTAAATTGATTAATTTAAATAAATTACTATAAAAATGTTATAATAATTATAATTTATAACTAATAATAAAGTAATCSAGTAAAACGGAGGTCTGACTGATTACTGAATAGTCATTGAGTAGGGAATTTGAACAATTATTGATCCCCAGACCCCGATAAACAAATCGTGGGCATATTTTTCGATATTGTATCGATCGATCGATGATGGCTTTAAATGTTGATCATTACTTTTAAAAACAAATATTAAATAGTTTAAAAACTCTGTAAAATTATTAAAAGAATCAATTCTAAACCATTTCTTTATTAACTTCACGTGTTTTAAAAAAAATTATTTCTGCATATATTTTTTGTCAGGTTTTGCTGTGATATAAAAAAAAAAAATTATTATTCCCGGATTAGATATCTAAAATAGAAACGATTTACACAAATCGTCTTGTAATTACATAATACTATGGTATATTTGATCTGTATAACATCGCATCATAACGAGTGRATTTTTWATTTTCGTTTTTGATTACAGAAATTTAGACAGCAGTACCAACGAAAAACCTGACATTTCAAAACTAAGAATGGCGATGCGCGACGTTACTCACAAAATGGACTTATCGTACGGAATGATGGGTAGTCTCTTCCGGTCGGGGTCCAGGCAAACCTTCTTTTCGTCGCAAGTCACACGGTATGCTGACTTGTACGCAGCGACATTTTTAAATCTAATTTACTATCCATTTTCTTATATGTTCCGAGCACCGGCTATGCTGGTAAGTAAAACTTTTATATTGACACTATAAATTATAAAATAGTGCACTACATATTATTTAACATTAGATTCCTATATTTAAGCTTATGTTTCTATTTGAAATTTCATCGTATTTGCATATTTACGTACGAAATTATACCTATTATACCTATTGTATTCGAAATTTATCAATAAATATTTTTCAACGATCGTACATATAGTCAATTATCATATATCATACTAAACACTTAAAACTCGAATACACCATTCAGGTGTTCAGATGAAAAACCTTGTTAACAATATGTACAAAAACATTATTTGAACGGTAAGTTATATCAACCAAAACATATACGTTTACGTGATGTACACGAATAAACATGTTTATTTCGTGTGTGATGAACTTTACAATTACGCACGCAATATCAAATATAAATTACATATTATAATCTTGTATCATAGACTTATAATCTTAACTTATTACTTATTGAGAATTTAAATTTAAATTAATAAATACTAATCGTTTCATCCGTTGAACTACAATTATCATATTTTTATACTTTAAAAACGTGTTGTTTAATTTCTAGTTCCCAATTAATCCTTAATTAAATTCATTATTGATTAAATATAAATGTATACAAAAACACGTATCATTCGTAATAATCAAATTAAATTATCTTGAATATAACTAAACTACTGTAAGACGTGCAGTTAGTTACTATTATTACTATAGGCATACCTTAAAATTCTATGCCATTAATATAATAATGAGTAGAGAATAATTGTTAATGGGGTTCAGAGTATTTTATAATTTAATTGACATACATATATTATGTGTAATTATGTCTTAAATACAAGTTAAAAATTAAAAAAATCTGGCGTAGTCTCTCTGCTGTTTAGTAAGTGTCGCCTCGACACTTTCGAGTATACCTCATCATTGAGTAGATAACTGTAAAAGATGTTTTAATAATTTGATTTTTTGTGTATATGATGAAAAATGGTTTTTAGCGTAGAAATTATATACTTATATTGGTAGTATTAGTAGATTATTTTTCTATTAATAATATGTGGTAGGTTACACTAAATTTGGCTGAAAAATCGAATATTATATTTTATAATAATAATTATAATATTACTATCTTAAAAAAACCAATACCGATGTACCGAACAGCGGTGTGAATAGGTTCGACAATTCGTGATATATAAATCGCTTATTAGTTATTAGTGTTATTACTATATATTTTAAAATGTCATTAAATATACTACTTAATATTATATTTATATTATTATTGCACAATGTGCAATGCACATTTTTATTAGTAGGTACTTACCTAAAAGTTACAATACATTTTCTATAAATATTGTGTAAGCTTTATAAGTACTTTCTGATCCGGGAAATATGAATGTCCTTAATTAAATGAAAACTAAACGCTATTTCACTAAGATATATTGAAGTAAAACGTGTAATCTATTTCATTTTTAAATAGTGATTTTTGTGATTCTAGACAAAAATTAATCTATTTTTCACTGCACATCAGTCATCACATATACAATGACACAATGTAGAATCTACTTATTTCAATTATGATTCGCCACAATTATAATATTATATATCGTATTGTTTGATTAATTTATTTCTATATAAATAATTACTCTGATAGACATTATATTATTGTAATATCTTAAAAATGATAAATGTATTGCAATTAATAAGTCTGTAAATTCTTACTTAATTCTATTATTTGGTCATTAATATGTTGCGTTTAGGAAGTATTATATACAACGGCTACAAAGTTTTGCCTYCTATTATGATGAAAGTGACAATATGTCCTAAATAGACATTTATATAAAATATACTAGCTGAACATGCACTTCGTAGCCGGTTAAAAAGCCTACCTTTTGAATGTCTCAAACTGTATGATAAATTTGTTACTTGTGATCATGCTTGCAGTATTTTTTTTTACACTTATAGATAGATAAAGTATACTAAGTAATAATCTTACACTGATAATCAATTTAGTTTATTATTATGTAATTTTATTCGTTTTATCGAGAAAAGTCTGACAATTCAAGTAGGTATTTAATTAAATGATATTTATTGAAATGTATTTGGATACTCAATACTTTTTGTTCTTCATTCTGGTRCATACACAAATAATTCAGAAGAGTTTCTGACGCGTGAGTATACCATATACAGCTGTCCATGTGAAAAGCATGGATTTTCCAAATTCAGTCCATACAATTGTAGCGATTGTCCTTGTGCTTTGTTGATGGTCATTGCAAAGGCGAGTCGCACYGGAAACTGCAAAGTTTGAATTAAAAAGACATATCTGTTGGAACCATTGAGATGCGTACGGCAACAGTACAGCTTTGCCTCTAAACTGTACGTTTAAAATTGTAGCTTCGATATTGTTGTTCATCATATTTTTCACTGAAAGTCTGGAACATCTGTCGTTACATAGTCTTGGCGGATTGATGTTTCGTAGAAGAATGATGGGCACGCCAAATTCCAATGTTAGAATGTGCGGTGGCAGCATGTCTGACGAATCAAGTGAATTTAAGAATTCAGTTGGGTAATCGACAACTTCGTCTTGATTTATTACGGTGTCGATGGACTGGTACGTTATCGCGTCGCCTGGAATTTTGTTTAGAATGGTGTTATTGATTGTAGGTATTTACACCAATATAGCTCGTGGAATGAGCCACTGACGATTTCCGTAATTTTGTGRTAGATTTGGGAAATTTTGTCAATTAATTCATTGGTTATTGCTATTATTTTACAKAAATTAGTTGGGAATGTGATGCATTTTGTTAATTCATCGATAGCTTGTTTACCATTCCCTATTTCCAGTAATTGGTTTGCGAAATCAGCTGATGCATCATTTTKTAGATGTATACTCATACATTCCRTGTCGGTTTCCAATCTTGCATCTCGTTAATCAGTTGTTTCAGATGAACGGAGTCAGGTTTGACGTTCTCTGTCGGTTCCCAATCTTGCATCTCTTTGCTCGATTGACTCTGAARCTCGTATTGCCATTTTCTTTTGTGCTTGAGACGTAGAACTACCAATCGATCTTTTTTGGGGAGGCAAACTACATAGAAATGGCGTTATTATTACAACAACAATCAAAAAATATAAAATATCAATAAAAACTTGTAATGCCATAGTCGCATATGCCATGGAAACAAATAATAACAACAAATAGCACTAATAGCAACCATCACTAATATAGAAACCATCCATAAGCAAAAATTTCCATCATAAATCTCAAAATGTCTATTTGAGCCCATCCCAGGGTTGGGGAGGTGAATTGATATATGAATCTAACCTATCCAGGAGGTCACCCAAATGCACACAAACAATTCATTCAAATCGGTCCAGCCGTTTAGGAGGAGTTCAGTGACATATACGAATACAGTAGAATTATACATATAAAGAAAATATAATATAAAAGCTTAATAAAATATCGGGTGATGCGAACCGTTATTTTATTCTTTAAAAATGTTTATTATAGTAACCAATTATTAATTTAAATTAAATAACATTTTAAATGAGATATGATAAAATATAATTTTCCATGTGCTATAACTGTAAGTAATGCTGTTTAACACTATTAAACCTTACAAATGAAGTTTAAACTTCGAAATGCAATGAAAATATAGAAAAAATGAAAAAGTTTCAAAATTTAATTTTTAATTTGTATTATACCATCAAAACTATTTCAAGCTATGTTTTACGAAACGTAAGCTAAAAAATTAATTTTACTAAAAATGCATAGCAAATTTTATTTGCTAATAAACATTTTAATTTTTTTTTTTAACATTAATTTAATGTTTTGTCTATAATAGTATTTTACTTTAATAAACTTCTTCCATTTTTGTTACTTATGTAAATTTAGATTTAGATTCTTAATACATCTCTGTCTATATTTTTGACTAATCGATTCTTCTCGATTCTGCAGTTTTATTTTTGACAATTTAATTTTCATAAACTTCAATCTACCTTTTATTTTTATCTACATACTTCATGTTATATTTCTTAATCGTCTTATTTATCGTTTGACAGGATTAACGTAGGTACCCGGTTGGCTTATTTTTAATTTTTCTGTTTTAATTTTAATTTTATTTTTATATAAAGTAAATCAGATTTCTACCAGATTTTAGTAGTATAGTACTAAACATTATTTCAAATGGCTWATGTTTCTTTGGCGTGATCATATAAGTGCATGATTTTTCATCAATTTTAACTTTTAAGAATCTCAAGCTTGTTCCATTATTTTGTTTTGGCGCCATGTTGTAAGCATGTTTCGATATCCTTGTTTACAATAAATTAAACTTTTCTAACTCGTCATAAACCATTAGAAAATCCAACTGCACTACCCTGCACATAGTGCAAAGCTCAATTATTTATTTTATTTACGAATTCCCATCATAGACTCATATTTAAAAACACAAAGTAAAACGAAAAGTGCACAAAAACATTGAAAGACTACTCTTGGCTGAAGTATGGGCATTAAGTCGGAAGTGTCGAGAAAATAAATTGTGTTAGGGACGTTAGGGTGTTTAACAATTTCTGGTCGTGTGTTATATTATTACGATTTCTCGGTAATTCGCTGCAAAAGCGATCAAATTTTGTCGAGGGATTAATAACGAACATATTATAATGAATACTATATTTATTGTAATAGTTATAATTACTTTTAATTATAATATAGCTAAAAATACATGGTTTTGTGATGTTAATATTTTTGAATTAATACAAATTATTGTTCTATGTGATTTTTAAAAGTACCTACTTCATATCAAATAGGTTATCTTTTATATTATGCATAGTTTATACATCAAATAATCGCTATTAGTTCTTTATTATTTAAAACCCGAACAAAGAAAAAAAATCTTCCGAGGTAAAAGGCCATTAGAAATAATAGCAATAGTTATATGCTTCCGTATAGACACCATATTATTATGTTTTATGTTTTAATTTGTGCTGTTCAGAACGTATTTGTATTTGTATTTTTTTTTTTATTATTATAAAGTATTACTGACATACAGGGTCATCAAAGTTATTGATAATATAATATAAAATATAAAATAATTGGTAAATTTAAATTAATTACAATATTTACAACAAATTACATCGATAAATAAATAAATAATGAAACAAGAAAAAATAATTGATTAAACTAGGAGTAGTATTTTCCACTTTTTTTTATTTATTGATATTATTGGTGTTGAGGAAGGGCATCATGAGGACGTCCACGCTTGAGACATTGGAGGCTTATCGTTGAGATTGAAGTATTTTGCGCTTTTGGCATTGTTTAGTTAGCAAGATTACGTATGCACTATGCAGGTTTTAATTGTTGAGAGTTTGAAGTCGGTATGARATGCTTTATTTCTGATGAACYCTGGCGCGTTGAAAATTATGCGTAAAATCTTGGATTGGAAAACTTGAATCTTATTTATGTGAGTTTTGGCATACTTCCCCCAGATAGGGGCAGCATAGAGAACTAATGGTCGTAGAATTTGCATGTCTTTACATGCAAGTATAGGACAATTCCAGCTAAAGGTGATTTGACGGTTGAATAAGAGGTAAAGAATTTTAAGTCGTTGGTAGCCTTGTTGTAATTTTGAAGAAATGTGCGGGTGGTTYCAAGTTAATCTTTATCTAAGATAACTCCTAGATATTTTAAAGTTGGAGACCAGCATATGTTGTCGTCATTAAGTACTAGAGATGGAAAGATATTAGGACGATGAATTGTAAATACTACTGCTGTACTTTTTGAGGTGTTCAAGATAATTTTTCATTTTTTCACCCAGCACTTTATTTAGTATATTTTCAGTGACAATGTGGACGTCTCTGGAGTTTGAATAAACAACACTATCATCAGCGTAAAGAGAAATTTCTGTGTTAGATGTAATAGGAAAATCCACGGTATATAAATTAAAAAGCAAGGAAGAAATTTTGGATCCTTCAAGAACACCGGCTGTTATTTATGTTGTTGCTGAGCTGGTGTCATTTATGTGAACTGAAAAACAACGAGGAACGGAGGAAGGATTTAATTATAATAATATAATGAATCGGAGTATCTAAAATCGTTACAAAATAATAAATCAGCTAATTTGAATGTAAATCCACGTAGGTTGTAATGATGACCTGCCTATCTATTTATAGTGCTATGCGTTTTATTTTAGTGTTAGCCGATTAAAAATTAAAAATTACTCAAAAATTCCAGAAAGATACATTAAAATGTACCTAGTTTAAAAATAAATAATAAGTACCTCCTTATAGGTATTTTTAATGATTAATACATTAAAATAATTCAATATTATATTTTCCTGATATAACGTACATAATATAACATATTATACAAGTGTATAACCCATAATTCATGAATATGTTTAATGTATATATAGATTAATTTACCTTTAATAATTATTTTCAATTTTCCGATTGAAATTTTTTGTTATTGGTAATTAGGTATACAAATTAAAAAATGTTATATACTAATATGTACCTACTACACACATTGTTAGAAAACCTATACTGTTTTCTATAATGGACTTTCTGCAATATTTTCATTTAAAAAAATGTAATTTACATAGGTCGCATAGGTACTCACACGTGTGTTACAATAAAAATGGTAGGTACTCACCGTCACTGATTGATTAAGCTTAAAATAAAAATAACATTAATTATTTGATATTGCATCATTGCAGGTAATCAAATTATTGATATAATTAHGAAGTGGATTTTATTGCTCCATTATAGAAAACAAGAAAAACAAAAATATTTATGAATATTTGAATGTATCAGAATGCTCTTAAAAAAATACGGCTGAATTGAGTATAGACAAAATTAAACAAAAACACAATTGTATTTGTTTGATAAATGATAATATTGTAATTTATAACACACATAGTAAACACGAGTTGTAAATATTATTATTAAATATTAATATTTATGAACATTTTATTAACATTATTATTATTTATTAGCTTTATAGCTTAAACAGATGGCTTATTATAATAAAATAGTCAGATAATATTATTTCAAACTAATTATCCGTAAATAAAATATTTAATTTCGTATATGATGATAACAATTGTTTATAACTATTATTAGTAGAGCTGTGACTAGTATTGCATTTGCATGTGTTTTTTGTTTGTTGTTAAATATTCCTTGTAAGATACAAATTTGATTTAGGAAATGATAAAATTAAATACAAACATTTTTTTTTTTGTTATTAATAATAAAACAATACCCACGGTGATATAGGCTATTGAAAATCATAAATAAGTAGACTTAATTGTATTGATTGAGAAATGAGAAATATTTACGATTATACAATATTGGCTAGTTGACAATTATTATGAACAATAGTAAATGTTACAAATGTGTATACATTTTAATAATTTAGATCTTGTTTTGTAGAATTCACTTTTTTAATAAATTAGGCATTATGGGGCTATGGGTGATGTGTGTCGTGGCCGAGAGATTCTGTAGATTTTCTGGACATTTCGCGTTGGTTTAGAGTTTAGTGTTTGCACGTCATTCCATCATTGCGTGTTCTGTGGAAAGAATAAGAGAGCCGCTTGATAGTGGGCATATTGGTGTGTCATTTTTACTCATTAGGTGACCATGAGTGATGTGCGGAGTCTTGTAAGGATGACTTTGAAGTCTGTGGGAAGTGACCATATGAATACGTGTTTTTTAATTTCATGCAAAAAGATTTCTAGTTTACCTCCTGCTGGCATTTGATTAGGGGTACCTACTACGTATTTGTTTCGTCGTGACTATAACGAGTTGAACTACTGTTACTAATGGGTTAGAATCTAACTATATAAGCCCTATACTTTCATATAACTATGAATATACCGTTTTCTTCCATTTATTCTCCTTTAATCTCAGCTGAATATTTTAAAGCATTTTTCGAACAATTTTATGTGGTAATAATAAGTTCTTAATAATAAGTTCTGAACAGTTATTATTTATTTATTTATTATTATATTAAGTCAAATTCTTGGATGGTACAAACGAATCAATATATTTAAAAAAATTACTGTCATTGCTCTTTATAACAACACTCCAATAAATAAAAATGGTATTTGTTAATCAAATAACTCACACGTCTTTCTATTGCGTATCGTATTATAATTACAATATATGTATAATGTACGAAATACGAATAGTGATGTGTATTAAATCAAAATATATTAATCGTGCTATATATTATGTCGCATAATATGTCATAATAATAACGWCTTTAATTCTTTATATAATTAAAGATTTTTAAAAATAATTGTTTAACGAGTAGGTATTAACACAGTTCTGGAATAATAGAATATTAGGAAGGTAATAAATAAGTTAAAACGATATGAACATTATTGATAAAAATTTGATGATAATTTATTCATATACCCAAGTAGGTATTAAGCAAAAAGTAAAAACTATATACATTATTACGTAAAATGTCCAAAAGACATACCTAATACCTACGTTCCACAAAGTAGGGAAATATAATCGTCTATATCGTGTAAAATTTGTATTTTTTCGATCCGRATAGTTCATCGACACCCGGTTAGTAAAAAAAAACGATTTCACTAAATTGATATTATATAATATACCCATCATGCAAATATACGACRATGAWCCACAACTGATTTAATTTTTTGCGTGCTGATATAAAAATTATCTTACGCTCTCAATTTGTTTTTCTGGTATGATTGCAGATGCCGCACGAGTCCACTGTGGCACATGAACACGAACAGAGACTGAGCAAAGAAGACAACGCGATGGCGTCTGCAGCGGCGGCGGCGGCGACGTTGAAGTCCGTCAGCGAAACTGTGCTAAACGCCAGTAAAAACGTCGTTGCGACTACGACTGCGGACGAGGCGAGTTCGGGATCTTTTAAGGCCTTAAGGGGGTTTACGCCTTTCCCTAACATGAGCGTAACTGTGGCATGGCTTTTTAGCCCGAATTATCACGAAAACCCTTAAAAGCTCTCCAAACATCCAAAAAACGAAACCTTTCAGTTCTGCCGGGTCGCTATAAATTGTATCTCATTAAAAAAAATCTGGGTGAATTTTAGTCCGGCTATCTTTRGTTCATATCTACTTAAATTGAGGCCTGGATATATTTTGTATATTCATAGATTTCGGACAACATTTTTTTACGTCCAGGGATATTTTTGAAAAATCAACATATTCCTTCCATATTTTAAACTTTGGGCTAACCTAACCTAATATTGAATTAATATATTTATGGTTAAAAAATATTGATCTTGCTGTCTATGCATTTATAGAGATTTGTGGTTGCTTGGGTGGAGGGGATTTGGCCCTATTTCTGCCACCAAAGAAACTATTGAACTTTTTTCAAGGGCTCCATTTCTTACTTTATAAAGAAAGATTAGTACACCCCTCCTAAAATGCAATCAAATCTTCCTCTTTGTGTTAATGTTGATTGCAATTAAAAAATGTTCTGTTAGAAGGTGGACAAGTAGAGTACCTACCGCTCTGCTGTACAGTAGTTGTCGATCATATCGTTGTAATGGACGTGTTTTATTTGAATTATATGATAAATAATTGCACACAAAAAATGATTCTGAGCGGAGACATATAATGTCATCCTAGGAAACTTGTATAAATAATCAAATTCAATAATTAAAAAAAAAAAAAATAATAATAATAATAACAATTGAAAATTCTTTGTGGATATAAGAATAGTGTAACTTTCCAGTAATTTTTTTTTTTCATATAAGTAGAATAACTTGTTGGGAATCCTCTATTTAAAATGTCTAATGTTAGTTATGAAAAGAAAAACTTTATGTATTTCTGACTGAAATATAATTTACAAAATTAGGAAAAATGTTCATGCTCATAAACAACTCAAAATTTATCATAATAGTTTGAAAATGTTATCCAACATGAAAATGCCAATAGCCAGCTTCACCCACCACGCATTAGATGTTTCACATAAAAAAAAAAAATACATCTTTGTAAATACAATACGTTCATTCGCTACGCTCAGAATCTAAAATTAGAGTTAGTAGGCAATCAAATAACTAGTCAACATATTTTGTAAACAATATGTATGATGATGATTCTTGATAGTCTAAACGAATAATTTTTTTGTTTGCCGTTCTTTTATCTTTTTTGTTTTGCGTATAATTCATGAATTTTTTCTCACTATTTTTCTATTTTTTGTTCCCTATGACTTTTCCAACAGCCAATGTATCAGTGTATCACACTGTGCGTGTTTTTTAGATATCTCGAGAGTCAGGACGCAGTTTATGTATGTTCAAAAATACTCGKGCCGTAATTTACGCTGTACCTATATGTGTGATTTTTTAGGGGGGCAAAATGTTTTATTTTGTTGGGGTCGAATAGCAGGGCGCCACTCCACTCCTCGTGTTGGTACATGCCCTTCCCTCCCGCTTCACACGTTGGTGTGATTATTATTATTGTTTTTTATTGAAGATTCGTGTTTTCCCGATCACAGACTCAGATGCTGCAGGGCACAACCACGTTCAGCACCCAAGTGCCGTCGTCAGTGACGCACACACACGACGAAGACTGTTCGGACGAAGAAGAAGTGCTCGAGACCAAAAAATAACCGACCAAGACAACGATAACAATAACTATTACATTATTTCATAAACTTTATTATTTTATTTGTAAATTTTTTTTCTCCCCAACCGCGATTCCACCAACACACCATAATACCTATATATGATTTACAAACATTATTTATAATATTTCTATATGTACACAATTATATTGGTTCTATATTTCGTTAATGTTATTATTATTTTTTTTACGATCACACGCCGCACACATTTTTCACCTAATAATAATTTACATGATATGAGTAGGTACCTACCAACGCACATTATTATTATGATCTTAACGTCGTCGTGCCGACTGTGCAGATGAAAACGGTTTTTCGTTAGCTGATGCTGCCTTGCGTCGTCCAAGTTCAGTATTGCCGGCATGGTAAAAATACATTATTTGTCACGTGACTGCGAACCACTTTTATGCGAACAATTGCACAAGATTTGCCAATATTATTATGCCGATGGAAATTTTTTTTTAAWGCGTGGCGTTGGAAAACCGTTTTTTGAGCGGTAGGTCGTCGTCGTTTATCAATTATTACCTATTTTCCTATAATACATGGGTGCGTGAAATCGGACAAGTACTGATAAAGATTTTTCGGAATTCATCGGGTACCGCCCACTTAAAATATTTTCAATTTTGTTATGTTACCGGGATCAAGTGGGCTGAAAAACAAATCAAATTAATTGTTTGTTACCACTTTTAACCACCGCTGAGATTGTTGATAATTAATAATATTATATAATAATGTGTTGCATAGGTTTAATCGTCTGCCTACCCAATATACAGGTCAAGTCTGCAATATCGRACGACGTAGGTTATATATTATAAACGAAAGATAAATATTATGTGATTTTTATATTATACGCGGCGACTCGGTGAATAACKTATTTGTCTACCGTCCAATTCGATTTTTGAACATAAACATATAAAATATAATATACCGTACAACGTGTTCGTCGACTATCAGACAATGCCCTCCCCAATTGTTGGGCCGAATTTTAAAGGGTTTCGACAAACTAGAAAGCTACTGAACAGACATTTATATGAACATCATCATAAATGCAAATTTATCGTAACCTAACCAATAACCATTTCGGTACGAGTGTAGTTAAACTTGCATCTTTATTAATTTATTACAATTATATAACTGTAGCAACAAGTGTTTTAAATATTTGTTTTTCGAACATATTTGCGGGAATGCCATTTAGTCATTTTGAACTTATTTTTTTCATGGTTCTAATATAAAAATTACAACTTAATACCATGAATTTATTTTGTTTTTAATTAATTTATGTAACTAGTTAGGTATTTTAGTTTTAATTATTGATTTCAGATTATAGTATTAATTAATTATCGATTTATAAGTTTTTCTTTAGTAGGTACTCATTCCTTTTTTCAATACTTAAAAATGCCATACTTTATTATTAATAACTATTTTATTAAAATATTAATCCGTTGTCCAAACAAACAAAACATTTTTTATTTTTTTTTTTAACCAGTACAGACGGGGCAAATTGGACTTATGGTTACTTTTGTATTATGTGAGGACCCGGCATTACAGTTATTATCCGAGGCGCCCAATACATATTTTTCAGGTGTAGCTAGAAATAATTTTACCCACCCGCCCCTTCATAAACTTAAAATTATATTATTTTATCATATTTTGATTGATGTGATTGATACCAATCGCCAGCCAATATTATAATTGATATAGTAAACATATTTCAAGTTAATTATTTTATATTATCATATACCCGCCCGCCCCTTATTTTCAAGGTGTAGCGATCGCTATTGCACCTAGCAATAGGGTTGGGCGCCACTGGCACTTGATATTAGGCCAAACAAAATGAATTGAATAATAATTTAAATATTAAATCGTATATTATATATTAGATAGACGTTGGTAATAATTGTTCGATTTTTATAACTTAATATAAATAAAATAAAATGTATTGATGATTAAACATTTAAAATGGCCATCATTCCTTAAATGTTGATATAATATATTATATAGTTGTCGAGTCAAGATGAATTTTAAAAATGAAAATGATATTGAAAATTGGTGTTGCGAATGYCCCCCCTTTCCCCACTATTTAGTGTTTAAGTCACTGCATATCTGACGGGAGGGTATAATTATTTTGAAATGTTCCGATGGAACAATACGCCGTGTAGGTATTAAAATGATTGACACTAACGTTGAGAAACTTTCGAAATCGCTCGACATAACGAAGTTTTTTCTGTGAGCACCGCCGTTTCAACAATTTTTTCCCTTAGTTTTCTGACAATATTATTATTATATTACGTGTTAAACAATCTTCCGTGTATATAGGTCATTTTTGTTTTTGGTTGTTTTTTTTTTTTGTTTTTAACGCAATATAATATTTTATATTTAATTACTTATCGTGTTTTGCGATCAATATTCGTTTAATCGATACGTCAAACCTTATATTATATTATATTATCTAGGTATCGTTTTTTTGTGATTGATTGTTATTTGGTTTTTTTTTTGTATCATTTGATGTGAGTTAGTTATATTGTGCTGTAATTAAATAAAAAAAGCAAATAATATATTTAAATATGTAATTTTTTTTAATAAACAATAGTTTTTATTACATATATTGTTACTTATTTAAAAAATAAAATTATTTAACTAAATTGACCCTTTTGTCAAGACGACGACACGTGCGGTCGTCGCTTTAACATTACATTAAAATTTATAATCATATGATATATTATTGGCTATTATCAAAGATTTTTGGATAGGAAAGTAGGAAGGTACRTGGTGTGGCACACCCGTCATTTTTTTGTGTAGGTAGCGTTAATACTGTGCGCGACGGGCGTACCGATAGGTGGTGTGTTTGACTTAATGCGTATAATGGTTAAAAGTTAGACAGAAAAAAAATTATAATAATAATACATAATAATAAAATAAATAATAATAAATAAATAAATAAAAATAACTAGAGAAAAAATCACAGATTAAAAATTGGAAAAAATTAAATATACCTATGAGTTACAATCGAATATTATAATATAAATATATATATATATATATATATAATAACATATAAGGCGTATATAGAGTATAAAACGTGTTAAAAAGTACCTAAACAATAGAAACGATTTTATATTGTTTTTAATATTATAWAAGACGATTTAGTAGAAATTATGTTGTGGATATTACACTCAAACTATAACAATTAATAATGTACCGTTGGCATTACTGCGAATTAGGGACAATCCGTTGAATGTGGAATCGACTTAAGTTTAATACGTGAATATACGAGATCGAAATAAAAGATGAAATACAAATTAATAAACATTATAAACAAACAATATTTTAATACCTAGTAATGACATAATAATTAATACGATGTCGAGCAGTAGCGATTAAAAAACAAAATAAATATAGAATGGACATATTATTATTATTATCATTTTGGGCGCGGYGCAATGTTGAACCGATAGAGTTAGTCGTCAAACACTTACGTCACACTCGTCGACATGTTATATAAATATTATTATAATATATTTGTTTAGAAAACGACAATAATGAGCAATAACGTGTACTGCAATGTCGYGACACGCATTGTAACGAAATAATAATAACAATGATATTAGGCACCTATTTTATAATAATAATTTGAAACAATTAAATAAGGGGTCGTCGTCACATTCTAAGCGAATTAAAAAAAAAAAAAAAGAATTCGACGGTGCCCCTACCGCGCGCGTGCGGGGGGGTTTGTCGGGGATAAAAAAAAAAATATGACATATTATTTTGCATATTTTTAAAAAGATAATGCTGTTTCGATCATAATACTATTATCATAATCAAAAACCATAAGACGTTTATACCTAATAATAAAAATGTATATTATATTAACGGCACCCGCGAGAGTCGTGTAAGACGATGAGGGACGTGGGCTCACATCTAACAACATAACTACGCGTTAATTATTATTATTTCGAAACGACGTTACGTAGGTACTTCCTGGTTATCAATTACATGCGCAAAACGACGAGTCGACRAAACAAAACTAAGGTACATTTTGGCGTCGCAATATTATGTGATCGTAACACACATAACACATAGGTAGGTACATAGTACGTCATATACATAATATTATATATAGTAGGTATATAGCATTTATAGTAGTTGGGGCGCATATTAAAATGAATAGAGTCAGTCTGGGTTTCCGAGAAAAGATATAAATAAAACAACGGCTTAAGTACACACAGGACGGATCGGTAGAAATAATAATAATAATAATAATAATAATCATAATCATAATGGAAATAGTTCAATAATAATTATGAGCGAACGGGCGTTAAGTCGGAAGTAAAAAATAAAAACAAAACGAAAATAGTAACTTATCGGAATAATAATATTTGGTGCGAAAATGGAGTCGGGAGTGGATAAGACGAA